GGCCATGGCTGGGCAGGCAGCTACTTCACTGCACATGAGCTGTGCACCAGTGCTGGGACATGCAGCCCCAGCTAGGTGGGGCTCCTGGTCCCAGGAAACACGCAAGGTAGGTATGATAGGGGGTGGGTATGGTAGAGGTGGCAGCAGTGGTGGGGAGGTGATGGGCATGGGTGGGATTGGGGTGGCAGTGGGGGTGTGTGTGTGTGTGATGGGTTGGGGATGGCAGCAGGGGGGGCATGGGGGAGAGAGAGAGTGGGGAGGACATCAGGGTAGAAGCGGCTGCCAGAGCTGAGCCTGAAGCCCCCCCTGCTCTCCTAGAGCAGCCTGGGCAGAGGGAGGCTGGCCTGGAGAGGAAGGGCTTGACCACGCAGAGGCAGGTCCCTGAGCCCCAGTCAAGGGACTACTGGGGCCTGGGCACAGGTGCAGGGGGCAGAACAGCAGCAGCTGGCACCACTCAGAGCCACAAAGCACAGGGAGGGGGACACATGACAGCTGCAGCACCAGGACATGGGTCCAGCAGTGGGGGGAGCAAGTGGGGGTGGGTAGGGGCTGTGGATCTTGGGTTTTTAAATTGGAGAATATGAGATTTTTAATCGGACAAAACCAGGATCCATGTAAATTATCAGACACCTACTAGGTAGAGTTGGATGCGGAATAAAATCTTAAAGCAGTTTTCAAGGACAGTACCCTAGTAAAAACCACAATGCCTATCCTTTCCTAGGAAGGCTTTCAACTTAGGGTGGAGACACCCTAGTTCCTCATTTATGCCTCACATCTGCTTATCCTTCTACCCCCACAACCCATACTGTCATATGTACCTGTCTGGTGACAGGTTTATTCCTGTAATTCAGGGGTGGGCAAAATACAGCCCGCGGGCCAGATCTGGCTTGCCATGTACTTTCATCTGGTCCATGGCACCCACCAACTCTTTATACCCCGCCCAGCCCTTCTGCCCATGAGGGTTGGAGTGAGGCACCCATGGATACAGCCCGCCCCCTCCCGCCAGCGTACCCTACTGCACCTCATTCCCACCCTCGTGGGCAGAAAGGCCTAGCCTAGCCAGCATGCAGCTTCCGAGCGGGGCTTCTGCTGCCACTGCTGCAGTTGCTGGGGGACATACTCAGCTTTCCCGGTGTCCCGTACGCTCTGGGATGCAGGTAGGGAAGCAGCAAGCATTGGGGAGCTGCAGTTGGGCAGGAGCACAGAACTTGGGGCTGGAGTTGGCAGCAGCGCGGAGGCCCCAAGCAGGGGGGTGGCAGCAGTGCAGAGCTTGGGTGGGCTGGGTGTGAGTGAGAGGGATGGTGGCGTGGTGTGGGGATCCTCCCCACACTCCCCCTATGGGGCGCAGGCCCCGCAGGTGGCAGCAGCAGCAAAGAGATGCTAGCGCCCAGCACAGGTCCTGCCACCTGTCAGTGCGCGGCTCCAGTCAGCGCTGCACCTAGTGGTGAGAAGCACGTGCCAGCTGGGCCACCTCTATTGCCAGGGCTCCCTGTGGTGCATGTACAGCTCCCACATTCACACACCACTGAAGGGAAGCTCCATGGATTCATAGATTCATAGATGCTAGGGTCGGAAGGGACCTCAATAGATCATCGAGTCCGACCCCCTGCATAGGCAGGAAAGAGT